CTTAGTGACGCTCAGGCAGAGGATGACGTCGTACTCCGGCTTCTGAGCTTCCAGCAGCTCATCCCGATCCAGGACGTAGTTGCCCTGCCAAGGAAGCCAGACGGTCGGTCTGCTGCTGGACTCGAGGGAGGGGGGGTGCTTGGCTCATGTTGGCCCCTCGGGGGAGAGGCTGTGCCCCATGGGCTACGCACTGCCCCCCACACACACAACGCTTCAGCGTCTCTGGGCGAGGCAGGGAAAAGCTGCCAACCCAGAGACAGGCGCCACCAGCGTGCTGAGGGGATGCTGCTCGCCGGGTGAGGCTACCAAAGTCTCCCCCCCCCCCGAGAGCCCCCTCTGTGGGTTTTCCAGTCTTAGTTCTGAATGAGGTTCTGTCTCTCTTTATGACTTGTGGACTTCAACTCCCAGAATTCCCCAGCCAGCTCTTTTTTTTTGCCACTTTGCTGAAGTCAAGATATATTACGTTTACTGCATTCCCTCCGTCTATATTAAGAAAGCCACCTAATCAAAAAACGTGATAAGTGTAGTCTAGCCACCTGTGTTCTTGTCCTACCCGTGGTGGGTTCTGGGAAAAGCCTTGCTAGCTAAGGGATTCTGGGAGTTGAAGTCCACAAGTCTGAAAAAGTGTAGAGTTGGGAGAGCCCGGCTCTAGGAGGAACTGATGTGCGACGGCCCCCAGTGCCTGCTGGACGGGGAAGAGGCAGCTGTGGCCGCCAAGGTGTCTTGTGCGCCAACTGCCCTCCGCCCTGGATTGGGCACCTTCGGCCACTGCTAGCCGCAAAGCGTTCTCTGTGGGGCTGCCCTTGAAGACTGCTCAGGAGCTACAGCCTGGGCAGTAATGGGCATCCTGCATGCGCCCACCGGACAGGTCTGCTTTGTGAGCTGCACTGGCTACCCAGAGGCTTTGGGGTCCACTTGAAGGGCTGGTTATTATCTGTGGGGATTTTTTTGGGAGGGGACCTTGATGTTCAAAGTCTCTCTCTGTATCTGTCTGTCTGTCTGTCTATCTGTCTATCATCTATCTATCATCTATCTATCTGTCTATCTATCTATCATCTATCAATCTATCTGTCTGTCTATCTCTCCATCTGTATCCATCATCTATCCATCTCTCCATCCATCCATCCCTTTATTCATCTATCCATCTGTATCTATCCATCTGTCCGTCCGTCAATCTATCATCTATTTATCATCCATCCACCTACCTACCTACTATCCCTTTCTCCATTCATCTATCCATCTATATCCATCATCTATCCATCTCTCCATCCATCCATCCTTCCATCCATCCCTTTCTCCATTCATCTATCCATCTATATCCATCATCTATATCCATCATCTCTCCATCCATCCATCCATCCATCCCTTTCTCCATTCATCTATCCATCTGTCCACCTATCATCCATCTATCATCCATCCATCTATCCCTTTATTCATCTATCCATCTGTATCTATCCATCTATCTCTCCTATCTATCTCTCCATCCATCCATCTAGTGCAGTGATGGCGAACCTTTTAGAGTCTGAGTGCCCAAACTGCAACCCAAAACCCACTTATGTATCATCGGGTGACGGGTGGGTGTGGCCATTGGGTGGGTGTGGCCAGTTGGATGGGTGTGGCCCATTGGGTGGGCGTAGCTGCGGTGGTAATGGCAGACTGGGTGGGACTAAAAAGTTCAATCAATCAATTCCAACTTTGCGAGATCTTTTTTTTCTCCGCAAGAAGTTGAAATTGACTGATTGATTGAACCTTTTTTTTTTTTTTTGCACATGGCGGCGGAGCCTAAAGTGAAAAGGTTTTATAAAACCCAGCTGAAGGCCTAGGACTGGGGCGACAGCACGCGTGGCCACAGAGAGGGCTCTGAGTGCCGCCTCTGGCACGCATGCCATAGGTTCGCCACCACGGATCTAGTGGATTCTCTCCACCCTGCAAGGCCTGACAGGGTCAGCGTGCCTTGGGCCCCCAGTTACAGGTGGTCCTCAACTTATGCCCACAATTGAGCCCAAAATTGACATTGCTAAGCGAGACGGTTGTTAAGTGAGCTGTGCCCCGTTCTACAACTTTCCTGGCCACGTGGCTTAGGTGAACCGCTGCAG